GAATAATCCTTCCTTGGAAAGGTATTACTCGTCGTAATATTTTATTTCTGCTCCTAGTAATCAATTTAAATCCACGTGATATACGTACCAGCCTTCCGTTCTCTGCAGCTGCGGAGTCCATTGGAACAGGTGTATCCCTGTTGCTATGGAGACTAGCCGTTTCAGCAGACCCGGATGTACGGCCCGGTTGAATGGAAACCTGAACTTGTAGGTTGTTCGATGCACCTTTTCCACTTGGATCCCAGTCAAACTTTTTGGACAAATAACTTTTCATTTCACCATAGAGTATCACGAAAACCCCTACAAAAAACAGTGTGCACACAAAGAGAATGCTACCAATGGTCTTTGAACGAATCGCCGCCAAACCGTAGGCCATCCTATAGTCGTCTGGCTTTAGGATGGTCACATCGCAAACATTTTGTAGGATGTCGCTTGGTGGACCAACATGAGCGCAAACGTAGTAAGCTGTTTGAAGAAAGCTTAGTGAAAGCCACACCAATGGATAGAGAAGAGAAAAAACTGCTGACACAGCGATCTTCACCAAAGACCAATCGCGCCTCAGCTGTCGGCATTGAATGCAGTGATCAGCGTGAAAATCCCACTCAGTTCGCTCATCGTAATAAGGACAGGAGTATTTGATAACGTAGAATTTCTTCAAAACCTTCCAAGGAGCGCTGTTACTTTCTTGTCGAAAGTAAGCAAAGACTGCGATTGTGTAGGAGGTGAGAGAAGGAAATAGGAACATAATGGTACCATAAGCCACATTCCAGGTACAAGGACATGAACTGTTGTAATAAGGCTCCCAAAGGAAAAGCTTGAGTGCGATTATTAGAAACAGCAAAAATACACCGTGCCAACCCAGAATGCCTAGCAAGGTTGAGAAGGCCAGTTTGACTGTTGATTGGGCCATTTCAGTACTCTTTAAACTACAAAAAGAACGTTTAAAAAAACATATAAAATTTATAAAAATGGTAATCGAAACAAGCAAGTGGTGACAATGTGGTAAGCCAGTCAGAAAACTGTGAGTTTTGCGATCTTTTTCTTAGAATGGTGAAGCGAACGCCACTTTCACCTCTCGACAAATGTTTGATGCAATAAAGAAAAAAGTTGTTCAAGTACTATGTAGGGGGCTTTTAATCCATATAAATAAACGAGTAACGCAGTGATCAATAGAAGCGAAGACGCTGTACTGAAAACATAATATTAAAAATAGAAAAGCAAAAACAAAAAGAGGAAAATGAGTAGCAAAGAAGTAAAGGAAAAAAGAAATTACTAAAGAGGGAAAAAACGAACAAAATTGACAGCCACCCAAACACAACTGTAAGTAAAATCAATATAAAATTTATTCTGTCAAGACCCAAATAACGAAAACCCGCCCGATCGCAACTTTCGCGTGACATCGTGAGCAGCGCGGACTCTTGGAAATCCTTATCACATGATGTGCACGCAACACAGTCACGCGATGTGCCAGTCGACGTGCGTCACGATGTGAAACTGAAGTAATATTTCAATTTCAATTATTGCATGCCAAAGGAACATGTTCCCATTTACAACAACAGATCTAACTTAATTTGCTGTAAGAAACCAAAAATCCCCTTTGCTGTTTTGACGCCTCATTCAAATGACTAATTTCTGGATTCAATATCCTTTGATATATTGCCTATGACACTTGCACAGAGCCAAAGTACAAATGATTTCAAACTCCTTATGTAACTTACAGAGGAGCTTACCAGTTATTTCGGCTACTTCAATTCGTGATTTTTAGAAGTAATCCACTCCCGTGTTAGGATTAACGGGGAACAAACCAGAGTATTTTTGTCGATGTCTCAGAAAGTCTTGTTCAGTCCTTCCTAAAGACACGTGACAATAAACCAATAGTCACATAGGGGCAGGTCCACTTCCTGTCACATGGGGCCATCTTCTACAACCGACAAGTGACAATAAGATCTTTTATTATTTCATTTTTCTGAGTTGTCATAAACTTGGATCCGGATTCTTGACATTCTTGTTGAGAGGTTTGCTCGGGTGCGGCGGGATGCTTCGGTGTATGTCGACCACAGGCCGACACATCTTTGGCCGACTGAAAAATTTTCTCTGTTTTCCTAGTCGGACTGGTTAGTTTCCGTAACCTGAATTATTCAGAAAGGAAAGACAACTGCTTTGCATCGTAAACAAAAGTTGCGCAGGGAAGCAGGGGGGTAGGGGTGGTGGGATTGAGCACCCTAAGGCGCCCGCGAGCATTTTTTCGGTTCCAGTCCTTTTTTGACCGACGTTTGAAGATGGCGTCTCTGGTGAGTCTTGGCAAGTTTTTGGCTACGATTTTACGCGTAAAATAATTTCATACTATTTAGGCAGTTCGTTGGGAATTATTTCCTTATTTTGTTAATTGCACTGAAAATAATTTTTCAAAAAATCGAATTCAATTGATGCACAATTAATACAAAGCGATTCCTTGGCGCAGATGACTCGGTAAAAGGGTCAACTATTATTTTATTTTTTTGGCTGGTCGGTACTGCAGAGCTCTACAGTACCTCACTAAACTAAACAGCCAAATTATTTTGCAAATCCATAATAAGAGCCTAATCTGTAGTTTGCTGGGACCCAGTCTGTATAATTTTCTGCATGTCATTGTAATACCCAAGTTTTTTACATTGTTCAAAACACAACAAAGAAATAAATAAACAAACAGACAACACTATTAAAGTCACAAGTTCCTAAACCAGTTTTAGACTTGCTACAGGATGGATGTTTGCAACTTCTGAATTCATTCCAGTGATTCTCTACTGAGCCAGAAGCAAGAAAAAGGGTCCAAATAAACATGAGGTTAAGAGGGCAAAGAACATAAGGGAACTAACTTGGAAATCATTGCTGAATCATGAAGATGAACTCTTGATTTTAATCTGCTTTAATAGTTGACTCTGATATAGAATTGGGTTCACCTACTTATTATTTGTTGGCAACCAATATTGTGAAGTGTATGTTATTATTATTATTATTATTTTTATTGTTATTATGGTTTATGCATATTAATTTTTATATAGTACCTTTTTTATAACCTGAAGGTATTGAGATGTCAGTACAAAGGAGGAAGAAGAAACATTCTTGAAGGATTGCTGACAACATCCACCATTGCTGACCTTCAAGAAAAGATCTGGCTGATGACTGATGTTCCACCGCACGCGCAAAGAAGTAATGAGTTTCTTTAGCCTCTGTACAGACTTCCCCCCTCCCTCACGAAAAATTGGGAGNCATTCCAGTGATTCTCTACTGAGCCAGAAGCAAGAAAAAGGGTCCAAATAAACATGAGGTTAAGAGGGCAAAGAACATAAGGGAACTAACTTGGAAATCATTGCTGAATCATGAAGATGAACTCTTGATTTTAATCTGCTTTAATAGTTGACTCTGATATAGAATTGGGTTCACCTACTTATTATTTGTTGGCAACCAATATTGTGAAGTGTATGTTATTATTATTATTATTATTTTTATTGTTATTATGGTTTATGCATATTAATTTTTATATAGTACCTTTTTTATAACCTGAAGGTATTGAGATGTCAGTACAAAGGAGGAAGAAGAAACATTCTTGAAGGATTGCTGACAACATCCACCATTGCTGACCTTCAAGAAAAGATCTGGCTGATGACTGATGTTCCACCGCACGCGCAAAGAAGTAATGAGTTTCTTTAGCCTCTGTACAGACTTCCCCCCTCCCTCACGAAAAATTGGGAGAGGAGACGTCTGTGAATCGCTGACGATAATCGTGTTCCCGTTTCCCCAGAATGTTGGGGACAGCCTCTGATTGGTTGTAATGTTAATGCCATGACACAAATTATTTCCGGTGTTGTGATTGGTGAATGAACCTCAGAATAGATTCCCCGAGGACAAGTTCAGCCTTTGTGGACATTCATATTTGTTTACCGGTATTTGTATTTCGGCTTTCTCGTAAAGGCATGAGAAGTTAAGACCACCGATGTTTGCTGCACCGGTTGCGGGTGCGTCTGTCTGTACCGGTCGGTATTGTAAATGAAGGAGAAGAAATACAAAATCCAACATTAACAGCCAAGGCAGGTCAAGCTTACCCCAAAAAGATTCTATTACAGAATTAATTATTTGAAAAAATGAATCCGTTAGTCGTTCCCTTAACTGGTGTCAAATTTAAATCGGCATTCCTGTATGCCGAATGAGCAGTGAATATTTTGAGAGAACTTCTCTGCATTTGGTCGGATTGAAAATCTTTGAATGGATTAAATGTCTTAGAAGACATTTACATCAAATTCAGGGAAACTGAGCTGGTACAAATTTCGTAACTGAATCGCGTGTGAATTCACTGCTCATTACGCATGCAAGAATGCCCACAGAGATGAATCTGAAATCTACAACTACCAACGGTTCAACTTTCGAATAATAAATAGGATCTTAGGAGGTACACTTGACCTGGTTTCACTGTAATCAGAGATCTTATACCTGGATTTTTGGGTGGACATTGCGTGAAGATGTTCGACAAGCCTGTGCACAGACGCCAGAGCTATTTTTCGACCTACATTTGCCTTTTCAACTGTAAGGGAAAGATCAAAAAAATAATTTATGCAAATGTATACCGGAACAGGATTAACGGCGGCGATTCACAGACGTCTCCTCTCCCATTTTTTCCTGAGGGAGGGGGGACGTCTGTACACAGGCTAAGTTTCTTTAAAAAATTAACATGGGACACATTTAACCACAAATTCAGATGATTCAATCCACATCACAAAGGCTTGAATATTTTATCATAGCTTACACATCTGGATCCAAATAGGCAGGTAGTGCAATTTAAGCATCTCGTGATCATCTCGTCAGAATACAAAGTATCGATTTGCTTAAGTTAAATTATCTTTGAATCATGGGAACAATAAACTAACATTTCACTCAGAGAGTCAAAGTATGCAACACATTGGCATCCTTTATGAGCCCGCAAATAGTCATGGTGCTTGCAATTTTATCATCAACACCTATCAACAGGCGCAATTCCGAAATGTAAATCAAACCAAAAATTATTGCCACCATTAAGAGGGAAAAACAAAGCAGCTGGTCATATATAAATTACATTTCTTGTCTGGTTTAAATAGTTCTTTCAGGATTTCCACCAAAACAGCTTATGTGGAAGAATAAAGATGAGGTAATATCATCTGTGGATGTCAGATCTGGAGATACGTTAATAATTGAGGAGGACAAAAATGCTCCAAAACCATCACTGGATGGTTACAAGAAATCTTTAAGCAGTGCAGCACTAGGAAAAATGTCAAGAAAGTAATTATTATTTTATTATATCCATTTTGTGAACTTCCATCATAATTTGCAGTTCACAACAGTATTTATGGCACATCACAAGGAACTAGTCAGGATGGCTGAGTGCAGGGAGGTTCAGTGTTGTTCAGTAGCATAAGTGGGTCAAAATTAATAAGCGTCCCAAAATTTAATTAACATAACTGGAACTGTTTCTGCTATCAAAAATTTGTATGAAATTATTTTGTGAAATTAGGTAATGTGAAATAATATTTTGGGGGTTGGGGGAGCAAATGATTAAAACTGTGTATTAAATGGAACGTAACAGGTATGCTATAAGCATTCTTTTTGAAAGGTAGGAAACCAGTTGATTATTTACAAGCTTGGCTGAGGATTTGAACTTGAGATAAATTTTCTGCAAAGTATCCACTCAACCACGCTCCGCCTTCATCACATACTTGTACAATATATGGTCTGTTTGATGTACTGTTTAATTGCTCTTTTTTGCCTTCATACATAGAGTTGTTCCAGCTGATAATTCCTGCCTTTTTGCAAGTGTTAGGTAAGAAAGGTACAGTGCTATGTTTGTTTAACTGCACTTTCAGAATTAATTCAAGCTTAAAGCCCTAAAATGTAAAGATAGCT